CTTGTGCAGAAAATTTTTTTTTTCTTGTGAAACCCGCTGCACGAATTTTTTTTTTCAGACAAATATTGCTTTTTTTTGAACAGTGAAATCTTGATTCATTATCTATGTTGTTTTGCTTTATAAATTATTCTACACTCACAGCAGATCAAAGGATACAGACCACTTTTTAATGCCAATTCTTTTCGAAAATGTACTCACAGTGAGAGCGGAGGAAGCCGCTTGGAGTGGACGGCTTCCCTGTGCATTTTTTCAGTCCCTGCCCTCTAGTAATTCCTCTCTGGAATTCCTCTCCCATAGCCCATCATAATGATGCCATACTCCATTCACCAAAACATCCCCTCTGTGTAAAATGGGGTTGACTAGCCTACAAGAATTCGTGGCATTTGTACATTTGCCGTTCACTGTTTAGTCACTCGACCTTTTTTTTGTAGCTTCACTCGTGTTTATGAAGGGCACTTCATGTTGTGTAATAAGGAGGAATTTTTAGTAGAGTTGAGCCGTTAGATCGTGCTTTGGGAAATTTCTATAGGTCATAGGTCTGCATGGTTTCCGCTGTTATCTGCGTGTCGCTTCGTAGAGTTTGATACCTCTGTAACTTGCCATGTTTTTATGCATTGTTTAGGCTCATTTCTATTGCAAGATATGCTTTTAAGTGTCCACGAATTTGCTTTTGAGGGACAAAATACGAAATTTACCGTCAACTTCGAGAAAGCTATACGTTTCTCTAGAGACATTCTTATGTTTCTTGCAGCTGTCTGACCGAGCTTATGTTTCTCTTGCTCGATGTATAGGTTTATTCCTCTTTTGGTCGTTCTGGCACCACATGATTCAAATGTACCGGTTTACGCACGAGTCCTGTTGACTGTTTTGCGTGTTGTATATGCCATTGTTCGGCGTAGACCAGGCAACACCATGGTTTCGACCCTCCATGACGATCTCCTCAGTTGCCGGTATTTCTAAACTGCTCTGTACGTCTGTCGTACATATATGAGAATGGTAAACATTCTGCGGCTTGGCACAAATTTCTCGTAGTGTGTACCCTTGTGGCGGGATCGAAAATGACTGGTTTCTATTGGCTATAACAGCTAGCTATAGAATTCTTATTCAAGGGGATAAGATCCATCCTCTAATTTTTATTGTGGGAACAAATAATTTTATAGAATATTTATAAAGATACCAAATTCTAATATTTATTTATTACAATTTTATTTTATTATTTGTATAGGTAATCATACGGTTTC